GATGAACTGCAGAGTGAATCCCTGAGTGATCAAGGTGAAAGAACTTTTGGGCAGGATGGAGCTGGGCTTGTACTTGTAGCTCATTGCTCCCCTGCACTGTCCAGCAAATGCAAAATACAGTATGCACTGTTCTATATAAAAGTGCTGTTGTTTTCCTATTATGCAAATAGCAAACACTGCAAGTTATACAGGCCAAAGAAACTATTTCAATTTACCCCTTGACACGCTTTGTTCTTTATTTGGTGCTATATGCATTTATATTAATAATAATTTTTAAAAAGGCTACATCCAAATGGTTCCATATTAAAAAGAAGCTTGAAACAGTGTCAGAATATATGTGCTACACTCTAGTTTGCAGCAGTTCTCTTTCTACTGAAGTTTACCTTCTATCACAATAAGAATATATTACAAAATACACTTAATATTGAGCTGAAGGACTTTCAAGTTTGCAGTTTGAAAATATTGATTGTGAACAGTGGTGCCTAGGAAGCAATTTAACAACAGCATCAGTGCTGTGAAGAACACCCAATAAATACATGTCAGGATGGCTTATTGCATGCTGCTTTTCAGAATAAATTAAGAAATAAACTGTGTAAGATGGGAGATACCACCCAGCAAGAGCTGATTTCAGAAATGAAGGCTAATGGTTGCCTTTGTATTACTGGGCTTTGTAAACATCATTGTATTTATCTAACAGATAGCATTCTGCATGTGTGCAGCTTTTGGTGAAGGGTGCTGACTAATTGTAAGGAGTTAAAGAGCACAGGTGCCCATCTCAAACACTGTTACGGCTACAGAAGGAACTTGCTATAAGATAAGCCTCTACAGTGGGAAGTTGAGATAAGCACAGAAGGGAGGAATTTGTGACAGGAAGGCAGTAATTCCAGGCCTGGGAGAAGTTAGGTCTGGTTAGCACATCCTGGTTAACGCAAGCGGACAAATATTCTCACTGTGTCAAATGGTGTGAAAAGAAGAAATTGCTCATACACATATCACCAGTCAAACAAAGATCACCCCAAGTTATGGGACACACGGCATCTGCAACCACCAACAAACACTGAAGCGCCCCCAAACTAATTTCGGGGGCCTTCCACCAGAGGACTGTGCATGATCCATAGTGTTGCACCAGACAGTGTAGAACTCCCATCCCCAGGGAAGGTAGCTGGGTGTTCCCACCTGAACCCATTAAATTTTGCTTCACGGGCTTTCCCCGCCTTGGAGGGATTGAGGCATGTGACCGTCACTTGGACCAACAGACATCCAAATTGCAACAATGAAGTCTAGTCGCTGGACCCACAGGTGGTGATAGCCTTCCTCTCCACTATCTACTCTTATCCTTTCTTTCTCTTTTTTTCTTTTCCTTAGATATTTTCTGAAGTGATATCTGTCTTGATACCCTCTCACAAACTATCCTTCTGGATGAAACATCCAGCATACAGCTGGACAACCATGTTACATGATGGGTGAGCAACTGGCGAAGTTGTTATAGTGACTAGGGTGACATCAGGCTGGTGATGAGCCACTAGTGAGGCTCTACAGGGCTCCATGTTCAGCCCAGTTCTCTTCAACATCTTCATAAATGACTTGGACACAGGACTCAAAGGAACGCTAAGTAAGTTTGCTGATGACACTAAATTGGGAGGAGCTGTCGACTCTGGCGAGGGCAGAGAGGCTCCGCAGAGAGACCTCGACAAAATAGAGAGATGGTCAATCACCAACTGTGTGAAGTTTAACAAGGGCAAGTGCCAGATTCTGCACCTGGGATGGGGCAGCCTTGTCTGTGTTGTATAGACTGGGGCATGAGGGGTATCAACGGTGGGAGTGGAAAGCTTAGACAAAGTTATTAAAAAGTAAAGCCTTGTCAGTGATTTTCAAGGCACAGAAAGGATTCCCTTGCTTTCTAAACCCCTTCTCAGAGAGGAGTCTAGGTGCAGCTAAACGCAATCTTAGCCTCGGATTATATTAATGGTTTAAATTTAAGGAACTATAGAGGTATGATTAAACAACTTTTGTCCCACAGGTTTTAATTATTGGCAAAATGAGAATATTTATATAAAATGAATAATTTATTTTATACAAATCAGCAGACAGATCTTAATCAAAACTATTTACTACACGATATAAACACTAAAAATCAACTAGTAGAGTATAATATAGCATAAAGTAGTACTGTGCACTGTAAACAAAGAAATTATTGAAGCAGTTATATTAAAGCCAGTGAAAAGAAATAATTATTAAGTAAAGGTCTGATGTAACTCACCCATACCAATGCTCATGGGGTGATCTCTTTCTCTCAACCTCGAGGAGTGACCTTGGAGGGCATCCCCAGCCAAGGGAGGAATCTCCACACATACACCTCAAGAAGGGTTGTGTTAGAAGAACCTGACTGTACGAGAGGGGACTGGACTTGACCACTTGCCTGTGGTCGATATGTAGTATGTAATTGCCAATCAATTTGCAGAATGCTGCTTATTCTTTAGTTATAAAATGTGGTCCTCGGTCCGAGGAGATGATGTCTTGTTCAAGGCCTACCCCTTGCTTGCCTGGCCTGGTCTTGCCTTGTCTTCCCCTCCTTTGACTTGCCTTGTCTTGCCCACCCCTTCCTCTCCTCGTCTTGCATACCTCTCACTGGACTTGCTCTCGCCTTCACACATTTCACAGAATAGTCTGAGCTGCAAGGGACTAACAAGGACTGTCAAGTCCAACTCTTAAGGGAATGGCCTTCCCCTTCACTGCCTCACCTCACCTTGCCTTGCCTCTCTCTGCCCACCTCTCCCTTCCTTGCATTGCCTTTCATACCCATTCTCTGCCTCAACTTGCCTACCCCTTTTTTTTTCTTCCCTTACTGATCCCTCCCTTGCCTTGCATTGCCTGCTGCCTCCCTTACCTTAGGTGCCTAGTTTGCATATGTGATTCATTAATGTGTGTAATTAGGTATTGATTAGCTGATTCAGATATGTGAATGATTGTTATGCTTAATTAGGTGTTAACTGGTGGTTCTCACCCAAATTGCTGGTCTACCTCCCAAAATTGAATATGGATGAAGATTCCTCCCAGGCAAAAGGGGCCAGGACAGAAAGGTCTTGCTGCCCATGGAGTGCCCTGGGAGGCCCACCAACTGCACCTGAGACACCCAGGCTATGGGCTTTCTTCGCTGGGGCAAAGGGCTCCCGATATCAGGGAGGCTGCTTGTTTCTTGTGCCGTGTTATGCATTTCTCCATGAAGAACAAGCTTTCAGATTCCTGGTTTATACCTATTATAAATTCAACTCTTAATTGTCCTCACTTCCCAGCTAAGCTCAGGAGCAACAGCTGCCAGCAGGTCTCTTTTTCTGCAGTTACACAGCACAGAAGCATTACTACCTGCCCAAGGACCCCTCTGCCCCCTCCCGCCTTCAATATAAAAGCCTCTGGAGGGACAGGGATGTTTGTCACCTCTGGCATCATGATTAAAAAGTCTTGGCATTACTCTGGCAGTCAGCATTCTCCAGCTCTGGTACCCTGTTATACAGGTAAGGCCTCTCAGCCAACCAAAAACTCATAGCAAGTCCAAAATATCTCTCAAAGAGTGAAGGGAAACATCTGGAAAAGGCTGGAGGCGAACGGAAACTGAGGCACAATGTTTTAACTACAACGTGATCAGCACAGTGAGATCCAGCAGAAAAGAAGGTTTTAAATCTCTTAGAGGCTTAATCCTGGAGCAGGATAAACCAGGCTCCGCTGCCCAGCTTTGTAACCCCAAAAACTCAAGCTCTCCCTTCTCCGTGTATATTTTGGAGCAAACCTTGGAGGCAGAAACAGTTTATAAGATACATTTTGCTTCCAAAAAAACCCAAACCTGCTTCAGCATTTATTCACACCCACCTGGCACATGATACCAGGTATTGGGGCTTGTCTAACATAAGTATTTACACCATAATACACTAAAATAGGGGCGGCAGCACCCAGACCATGAGGGGCACAGCACGACCTGCACATAAGCAGCTCCAGCACCCAAACTCACCCTTGGATGTGCAGGAATTTCAGGGATGTACCACACCAGCATCACAGCTCTGCTTCCCAGAGGATTCAGGGTGCAAAGAACCCCTTTGAAAGCCTAAAAACACCACCCTTTGGGAAAAAAAGACCAGGAAACCTTTGATTCAAATGCAAAGGTTTTGATTCAAAAATAAGGTTTTTATTAAACAAAGTTTTCTTTGTTACCTTATCCTTCTGTACCACTCACATACAGCTAAAAGACACTCTCAAAAATTACATATTTGGGGCAATCATTATAGCATTGCAAAATTCTTCACTACAAACGAGCAATTTCACATCCTGCTCCCCATCTCAGGCACCTGTAGCTCCCAAATCCCATCCGATCCTCTCTCCCATGGGCCGGAGCAACTTCTTCCTCCCGTTTGTAGTTTATATTTTGCTCTAAATACAAACCCAAGAGCCACAACCACACACAGAAGAGACAAAGCAGAAAATCCCTGGCAGGTTTGTTTAAGTTGTAGCCAAGGAGTTTCTCAGCGCCAAACACAAACACCATCATTAAGAACAATCAAAATTTGCAGTAACACCTTCCCAAAACTCTTCCAGCAATAGTAGAAAAATACATTATTTTCCTTTATTTAGTTTTAATAAGTTTTAGCTGAATAATAGGGGTTTTTATGGGGTTGATATAGTTTTCGGGTTTCCTTTATTTTAGTTTTAACACATTCATAATAAATTTTAATGAATTAAATAAATTTAATTTTTAAATTTTATTTCTCATCCATATGAATAATAACAATAAGGATAAATAAAAGATGAATTGATTGCGGTTTTACACTTTTCCTAACGCATCCAAAATAAAACGTGTGGAGGTGGAAACTTATTTCGCGCTGCTGCGAAGTCTTAAAAAATTATTTTTTTTAATTTTTCATTTTTAAATCTCAACGACTCGGTTACGAGAACTCCCGTGCGTCCTCCGCGCCGCCAGGGGGCGCTGTAGGAAGCGCCGGGACGGAAGCGGAAGTAGCGGACGGTGCCGCCGGTGGGCCCGGGGCGGTGAGTCGGGGCCAGGGGTCTCGATGTGGCGGTGTCGGCTTGGCAGCGCCGGGGCTGTGGGGTTTTATGTTGTCGGTACCGGCTGAAGGGGCCTGGGCGGTGGGGGCCTGAGGAGCTCCGGGGTCCGGTGAAGGGACCGGTCTGGGGGTCCTTGACAAGCCCCAGTGAGGGTCCCGGGTGGTTGAGCCCTGGTACCCAGTCAAGGGGCCTGGACTGTTGTGTTCCATGAGCCCCAGTGAAGAGCCCGGGCTGGGGCTCCCTGACGAACTCCAGTGCCTGCTGAGCGTCCTGCTCAGTTGAGCCCCAGTACCCCCTCAAGGAGCCCGAGCTGGGGGGGGTCCCTGACGAGAGCCGGTACGGGGTCGAGCTGTACCAAGCCCTATCTCTCGTTGACCAGCCCGGCTGTTTGGCGCTTGGCAGCCCATCTGCCCACCCCACCATGCCGGGCCAGGGCCCCTCGGGGTCCCGCCGGCCGCTGCTGGCCCTGGTGGTCGCGCTGGGCTGGCTGCTGGCCCTGCAGCTGCTGCTGGACCTGCGGGCGCTGGGGCTGCTGTGCGGGGCCCTGGCGGTGCTGGGGGGCTGGCTGGGCCCCCCGGCCCTGGTTCCCCGCGGCCGCCGGCTGCGCCTGGAGCGCTTCGTGAGCTCTCTGCGGGCCCCGCCCGGCTGCCCCGCGGACGAGGCGCGGCTGGAGCGGGAGATCGCCAGCACCATCCGTAAGGTGGTGCGGGATTTCGTGGCCTCGTGGTACCGCACGGTGAGCAGGGAGCCGGCCTTCGAGGCCGAGGTGGAGAGGGCCATGGTGGGCCTGGCTGCGGAGCTGCGGCGGCGCATGGCGCGGGTAGACCGCCGAGCCCTCGCCCGCCGCCTGCTTCTGCTCTGCGGGCAACACCTCCAGAGCTTCCTGCGGGCACGGGACGCCCTGAGGGACGACCCCAAAGGCGGTGGGACGCTGTGGCAGGAGTACAGCCGGCTGGCAGGGCCGCATCCTGCCCTGCTCAGCCCCGCGGCCGAGGTCGGATGTGCCCGCGCGGCCGTGGAGACGCTGCTGCAGGCGTTGGTGCCGTGGCCACACCTGGAAACGCGGACGGGACGCTTCGTGGTGGTGGAGCTGGTGGCCTGCAATGTGCTGCTGCCGGCCGTCAGGAAGATGTCTGATCCCGACTGGATCAATCTGCTGCTCATTGGGATGTTCTCCAAGAAGCCCCGCGGTGGGAAGCCCCACACTGCACCCCCAGTGCCAGATTCCTTGCCCTTCCCAGCACAGATGGATACGGTTCCTGCCGGGCTACCCCCCTCCCCGAGGGCTGTGGAGGGGCTCAGGAGAGAGGCAGGGACTGCTGGCGAGGAGGGAGAGGAGATAAGGAGGTCGTGCCACACAGAGGAGCCTTTCCTGCGCCCCCAAGCCCTGGGATCCCTCTTCCCCTGCGAGGGTTTGGAGCTGGAATCCTCCACGCCCAGTGTGGGCCAGGACACGGACCTGCTGGCACCATCCCCCACTGGGGAGCTCCTTGATGAGCCCCCCCAGGACCCCTCTGTGCTAGAGGGCCTGGCCTCTTTGGAAGATGGAACCGGAGACCTGGAGGAGGGCCCTGCCCCCAGCTCAGATGTTGGGCTGCTTTCCACCTCTGCCTTGAGCTCCTGCCCTGACATCCAGATTGAGCCGGTGGTGGAGGAGGAGGAAAGCCCAGCAGTCCCCAAGAAGTTCTCCTCGCAGAGACCCTCTGTTCTGGGGAGAGATCTGGGGGCAGCAGAGGGCCTGCCACATATCCCCCCAGAGGCCGGGCAGTCCCTGCCCCTGCTCTCATCTTCCCCAACAGCTTCCATGAGCACCTTCAGCTTTGAGCCCCTGAGCAGCCCTGACGGCCCGGTCGTGATCCAGAGCCTGCGGATAACTGGGACCATCACTGCCCGGGAGCACAGTGGGACTGGCTTCCACCCATATACCCTGTACACTGTCAAGGTAAGGGCTCCCCTGGCATTCACCTCTTTTCCCAAATCCCTGCCCTGACTGGAGCACTGGTTGGTGTTTGGAGGTGAGGATTTGCTCTGTGAGTGTCTCCACAACAAATTTTGTCTGGCAGTGAGGGAATATCAGGCACAGGGTGTGGGATAGGAGTTCCCACTTTTAGCCAAGGGTCACATGAGGCTGGTAGAGTCTTTTGTGTTCTGTTTTTGCCAGTTGTTCCATTGGGATGGGTTCCTTCATCTTCAGGGAAGGGTTAATGTGAGGATGGAAGGGTCCTGGGAATTTTGGGGCCAGCAGCGCATTGGGATTGTTTTGGGAATGTGTAAGGATTATTCCTGTTGCCTTCCTCCTCAGTATGAGACAGTCCTGGAGGGTGAGGGTGCAGGGAGCCTTCAGCAGGTGGCTTATCACACCGTGAACCGCCGCTACCGGGAGTTCCTCAACCTGCAGACCCGGCTGGAGGAGAAACCGGAGCTCCGCAAGTTCCTCAAAAGTCAGTGCCTGCATTAACTCTTGGAGTAAATCCTCTCCCTCTCATCCCATTCCATGCTTCTCAGCTCTGAGGGTTTTCTGCCCTGCCTGTGCCCACATCTCTGTTGTTTTGTGCAGAGCTGGCTGGAGGGTTTATCTCTTTTGGCCGCAAATTCCAGTGTTTCAAAATATTCTTTTTTTTTTGATCACAACACCCAGTTTTGTAGCTTTGCACCTTAACAGTGAGTGGAAACACTGGTGTCTGAAAGAATCTTGTTTGCATAGAAGAAAATAGAAATATGTGTCAAACATGAGCTTTTTTTAGGAAGAAAACAGTATTTCTTCTAATGCTACTTCTATATAAAGCTCCATGGAGTTTAGCATGTTCCAACATAATTCCTTGGTTCTGACAGATTGACTACAAAACTGCTTTGTTGAGAATATTCGGACTCTTGGAGCAATTTAGGGTCCTTGTTCTTGCTGCTTTTAACTTAAAAGCATGGAAGATGTGAAATCCAGCAGAACACAGATTCCATATGGATTGAAGGTCTGATTCAACAACCCTGGTTTGAGGGGTGTCTTGCCTTGGGCAGTGTGTGGTGATAGTCTTAACTATGAGAGCATTAAGGTTTTAATACAGACTAAAATCTGTATTTAGATTTTAAAATCTTAATTTTTAATCTTGGATTTTAAAATCTTTTAAATTAAGATTAATTTTTTCCCAGTTTTCTCGAACGTGCTCATGGCTTTGTTTCCTTTGTAGACATCAAAGGCCCAAAGAAACTGTTCCCTGATCTCCCCTTTGGAAACATGGACAGCGATAAAGTGGAAGCCAGGAAAAGTCTGCTGGAATCCTTCTTAAAGGTGAGATATTTGTGTGCCCCTGTGAGATAAAAGCAGATGTGACATCAGATCTCTTCTACATTACATGATCAAGCTGGGAAGTTGACTCCAGAAAGCCCTAAATTTCCATCTCTCCTTGCAGCAATTGTGTGCAGTCCCTGAAATTGCCAACAGTGAGGAGGTGCAGGAATTTCTTGCCCTCAACACAGACGCCAGGATCGCATTTGTCAAGAAGCCCTTTGTTGTCTCCAGGATAGACAAGGTAGGAAAGCAGGAGACTGGTTACCTGAGCCCCTTCCACCTGGACATCTCTCTTAGGCTTCAGCGTCTATGAGGAGCCAAAAAACTCCAACATTTCTGTAGCTGGGCTCAGCTTGCTCAGAAAACCATAAAGCTGGGGAGGGTCAGACCCCATCTCAAAGAACCTGGGGTTTAATAGAAAATACAGTGCAAATTTGAAAACTCTTAATATCTTTAAGGAGTAAGGATCTATTCAGTAATTAATGGCACTGCTGGCCTTGCAGATCGTTGTCAATGCTATTGTGGACACTCTGAAGACGGCATTCCCCAGGTCAGAGCCCCAGAGCCCCACGGAGGATCTGAGCGAGTCTGAAGTGGATGGAAAGTCCCAGACAGATGGGAAGAAGGCGACCAAGTAAGGGCTTCTCCAGCTTTGCAGAATAAGGAATTAATGCATAAACTAAGCCCATTGTGGGAAAGAACTGACCTGGTGCTTTATGTGTTGTTGTACTTTAACCAAATTACTTTCTTCTTCCCTTGCTGTTATCCAAAGGATTTCCCAGGAATGCTCAGGTTTCCACAGAACGTGGTTTTCTTCCCAGGGGATCTGTCATGTGCTGCCACTTGCCAGCAGAGACGCTGTTGCTCCTGGGGAATTCCTTTTTAACCTTAAACATGTGCATGACCCATATATGTCATGAGTAACTGGAAAATGCAGCTATAAATTATCTACCTGAAGGTTCCCTCCTGCCTCTCCCATGTGTTCCACACAGTGGCCTTGCAAAAAACACATTTGAATGTTTATTTAGGAGTAATATTGAAGGTCATTGCATGTGTGTTGCTCACCAAGTGTTTATTGGTGCTGCTGGCAGTGCCAAACCTCATTGTGCTCATTAGTGATTCTTCCCTCACTGAAGAAGGGAAGGTTTCTGCACAAATAGTGCTTTTTCTTCCCCAAAAGTGCTTTTTGCTGGAAAAAGCTGCTTTGAACAAAAGGACAAACCAAAAAAGTACAAGTTTGGAACCATCTTGGCTGAAAAGGACATTCCTTAATGATAGACATTATTTTATGATTTGTCCCATAATCCTGAGCATCCTTTTATACTCTCCTTTCTGTGTGTCTTTATGATTGGATTTCACAATCCTGCTGAGTATGTTTCATCTCAGAGGCTTTTCTGAACACTTCCCTGAGTATGCTGGAATGTTCACACCTTACTGATATCTGCCTACATCTGCCTGTCGGCTTCCGTGTAACACACCTGTCTGTGTGTGGAATGTTGGAAAGCCTTGGCTCAGGTATAGGTCAGGAAAAATGCTTTAATGCTTTTTTTTGCCTGATTTTGCTGCTACCTCTTAGTTATCCTGGGCGCAGGTGCTGGTTTTGAACCACTTTAGGTCTAATCAGGCTTTCTAGCTTGGATGTGGCACTGGGCAAAGATAACTGGTCCTGGGTCTTGGCTGAGGCTTGTCCTCGGTCTTGGTGGAGGCTGGAAAACTCATCACTCGCAACTTGCAGAGAAAACTGACTGTGCCATGTCTCTGCTTTTCAGGTCCAGGCTGAGGTTCTCATCTAGTAAAATCACTCCAGTGCTGAGTGTGAGTGAAGCTCATGACAGGATAGTGTACTCCATCAGGGAGGGCAGCGCTGTAAGTTCATATCCCTCCTGAAATCCTTTCACGATCCCAATCACTGCCCTGTTTGGGTGCTGACTTGGAATAATCCATGTGCACGAGGATTGTGGTTGCTGCAGCCTTGTTCCCATGTGCCAGGTGGAAAGTAAGCAAGCAAGCCTGGATGTGTTGTTGGCTACACCAAGTGCAGACAAAGGAGATGGGTGGTTGTCTGATCAGTGGGATCCAGGCCTGTGTGGTACTAATACAGCATGGCTTTTGTAGGTCTCTGGCACCCTGTCGCTGGCTGCTATGGAATCCTTCATCCAGAAGCAGGAGAAACTGCTGGAAGCAATCCCTAGCAAAGCTCCTGAAGGCGAGGGAGGCAGAGAACCTAAGGGAAGCTCTGTGCAGGAGGATGCGGATGGGACACATCTGGACACAGACTCTGGTGAGCTCAGCCCCTCTGTTACTGCTTTAATTTCTCTCCTTTGGGACCACAACAGCTCCAACAGCTTCAATCAATTTACAGGGTTTTCAGGACCTGTTCTTCTTGCCCTTGATTGAAGGGAAAGCAAACTGAGTTTTTCCAGTCCTGTTTGGTGATTGCTCTGGGCTTTGTTGAAAGCAAATTGAGGCTTGGCTCCTCTTGGATCTTCACCTTTGCGGACTCAGCACTGTCACTGCACAAATAAGTTTTTTAAGGACACAGTGCTTAAACTGGCAATGTTATAAAATCAAGCTCCTTGAAACTGAAAAATGGCCAAATTGCAGTTTCTTGGTAGTCTCAAATTAACCTTGATATGTCCATGCACTATAAAAGGACCTTTTGAGATCAAGTTTGGATAGATTTGATGGGAGTAGCAAAAATGTAATCCCAGTTCAAGGAACGATGTTCCCTTTCTGATTCTAGATCCCTCCTCTGAAGCACAGGGGTACCACAACTTCTCAAAACAGTTACAAGATTATCTTGAACACAAGCGAAAATATGTTCTCTAATCTTTTTCTTGGAATTGCTGAGCTGTATCAACTGGAACTTCCCCAAAATTTCTTTCCAGTGTTTCAAGTTGGGCAAGCTCTGACATGTGCTTGTGACAGGATGGGTCTGGTGTTCTGAAACTCAGCTTGTGCTACCAGCTTTGCCTATAAGCTTGGAACACATGGTTTTGGGGAGGCAGGACTGGAATTGGAGGCCAGGGCTGTGCACCAAGTTCCCTGAACTCTGAGGGAGATGAAATGTCAGTGATGGCAAATGCCTGCAGGTCTGGGATGTTTCAGGCTGGGCTGGCAGGGCGAGGGGAACAAACGTCTGGAGCAACTGGATAAAAAGGCAGCCTGTGTCCCTGTCTGCTCATGGAGTGACTTCTGGGAAGAGGTTGGCCAACATCTCTCTGAGGAAGAGGACTTGAATGCTCCAGGAATAAATGGAGCTTGCTGAGGATGGTCCCTCTATGAGGTTGTGGGGAAACTGGACAGCCTGCTTCTGGCTCTGCACTGGGAAGTGAAGTCTCAGAGGGCAAAGCAAGTGAGGAATAGCTTAGACATGGCCCAGAGCAAGAGGGCCAAGTGCCCTGTCTTTTCCAAGTGAAGTGGCCTGGAGTTAATTAGTCCTGCGCGTACGCAGTGGGGAGAGGAAGAGGAGGGAAGGAGAAGGTCCAGAACCCCTCTTCCCTTTATTTTCAGCAGTAGGTTGTGTGTGTAAATTTTCTATAGGCAGAGTGGTTGGAAGATGAGGCATCAGGGAATCCAAATTAGGAAAAGCTGCTGCACCTGATCTCACCTGGCTAACCTGGCACTAGGCTCCGGTCGGGGCACTGGCCCTGGGAGTGGCTGCCCCAGGCAGGTTTGTGGCACATTAATGAGCCTGTTCAGGACAACACCTCAAGTGCTTTGGGGCCAAAAGTAATTCTCCAGCAAGTAGAAAGTGTTTACACTGAAGGTTTTGATGTGCTCCTGAGGATCAGAGAGAGGTTGTGCTGTCCCAGGCTTGTGTCAGCAGGGATATGTGAGGACGTGTATGGGTTTGTGTTTTAACATACATGTGGTTTATCCACCTTCCTGCAGAGATTGGGATCTGCCACACGATGGCAGCCTGCAGCCGCCATCTGGAGCCTTGTGCCTGGGAAACTCAAGGAAGAGCGGAAAATTTTCCTGAAGACCAGGAAAATAGTCCTCAGCAGTGTAGCTTTTGCTGGCTGCAGTCACTGCCTGCTTTCTCCCCTTTTTGGGCTCAGTTCCTTCTCAGTGAAACAGAGGGTTTATCAACTATCGGTCCACATATAGGGATGGCAGTGTGCCAAAAACAGATGAGAAAGCATCCACCCACTGGAGCCTTGTGCCTGGAAAACTCTTGGAAGAGGGGAAAGTGATGGGGAAGACCAGGAAAATAGTCTTCAGCAGTGTACCTTTCTCTAGCTACAGTGACTACTTTCATTCTCACCTGTTTTGGGCACATTGTCATCCTCTCTTCAACTGAGAAGGAACTGAGCCCTCGGAGCAACTACATTCTGGTTTGGTGTGGCCCTTTGTGGGGAGATTAAGGCTGCTTGTATGGAAGTAGAAGTGAAAGAGTGGTAAGGGCAGGCTCCCTGGACTGGTTGAGCTGCAGCAGGTCATCTGTGTATGGCACAAAGTGCCAGACTTGGAAGAAAGAGTGAGTTTGGGATGATGCTTTTCACCAGGTTTGCTCAGGCACTGAGTTGGTTTCTTCATCTGACCCTCCTCTTCCTCCTGGCAGACTCTGAGACAGCTTTAGCTGATCTGGCCCTGGATGTGCTTCGCCTGGTGCTGGTGGATCACTGGAGCTGGCTGTGCACAGAGAACATTCAGAAGGTCTTCAACCTGCTCTTTGGGACCCTTGTTCAAAGGTAAGGCCTGAATGAGCAACCTGGCAGCTCTGGGAGGGTAAATTCCCTTTGGAGTCACAGTCTTAAATGGAGCTCATGCCTGAGTGTGGGTAAATGTTTTCTGAGCATCAAACAAGGTTCTGTAAAGAAGGTGCTGTGTAAAAGAAACCTCTTGGAGATTTGCACTAGGAGCTGTTTTCCCTGTGAGCAAGGATGCAACTGTAGCAGGCAGCTTGCTATCCCTTAATAACAGGGAAAGGAAGGATCCAGCCCTGGGAATGGGAGTCTTGCCTCATGAAAAGGCAACAGTGCCCAGCTCCTTGGCTCTCCAGAGAGAACCGGCCTCCTGGTCTCACTGCCCACTGACTCAGCTTGTTCTATCTACAAAAGGAAAGTAAACAGGCCGAGGGAACAGCAACTTGTCAAAAACAGCTCAGAGTGTGGCCTGCCAGGGCCTCTGCTCTCACTGCTGCACCCCCTGCTCTGCCCCGGGCCAGCAGTGCCTGTGCCTGGGGCAGGGACATGCACATGGAGTGGGAACAGGCTTCCTTTCCAGCTAGGATGGACTCGCCAAGCTGTCCTGGGGCCAGTGCCTCTGGGTGGTAAGGCTCTAGGCCAAGACACACAAACAGAGCATTCCTGTTTTCTGGTGTAGGTTGGTGGCTATCACTAACTGAGGATGTGGTTCTTTAGAGCCCTGAAGGACTTGGGCTTGGGAGAATCTTGGAGCAGAGCTTTTCCCGCTCTTGCAGGCATCCAGAGTTGGCATCAGAATGTGCAGGGCAGCACATTATAACTGAGCTGGTAACTTAAACTGCACTCAGTAGAGGTTGCCAAAGTGCTTTGAGGTCAGGCACTGCTACCTTCACTCCTGGGTCTGTTCCCTTGGGCGGCAGGAGGTGGGCGTTGCTGCCATTTTTCCAAAATGGAATCTGATCTCTTGGGAAATGAGCTGGAACCCAATCCCTGTGTGTAAGCAGAGAGGTATGAGAGCTTGAACAGGCACGTCATCACCTCCTGTTAAGCTGTGTCCTGCTCACCCAGGGAACCTGCAGCACCCACGTGTGGCATTGGTATTTTCCACTAGAAAGCTGGGATACACACAACATGCCTGGCTCTGAAAGGTGCAGGAGCTCTATGAGTTGTGCTGGTGGAGCAGAGTGAAGGGAGTGTGTTTGTAGCTGCTCTGCTTCAACAGGTGTGGGTAAACCCACTGCAGGCAGAGCTTTGCCTGGAGGTGATATGGTGGCTTCTCCGTGTCACCATCAGGACAGGGTGCAAATACAACCCCTTGAACAAACCCTGTGTCCATGCTGAAATCCACATGTTGAGGTTGACTCTGCTCTTGTTCTGGGACAGTCAACAGTCCACAGGTCTGATGTGAAGGAGACAGGGAAGGGACTTGCACAGTGGGAACTGACCTGTTGCCAGGAGGATGGTGTTGCTCGTGGATTGCTGCAGGGAAAAAAGTAGATGTGGGCATCATCCCTTCAAGAGATGGTCCTTCCCTGTTCCTGTCAGTGGGTGAGGTGGTATGGGGCAGAAAGGAGGTGCCCTGGAAGTGTTTTGAGTGTTAGGAAGGGGATTGCCACTAGGTGCTCCTCTGCCAGTTTGTATTTGGTGAGTAGGTGCTGCTCCTGCTGCCTCCTTGCAGCTGCAAGATGATTCTGCTCTGGCATGAGGCACATTCAGTGTAGAGTGATAGAAATACCCGCAAACCAACAAAAAGCATACCAAGAACAAGAACCAGTTTCTCCCAAGAGCCAATCTCCCTCTCCCTTGGGGTCTTTTTCACAGTGACATCAAGTGATTGCTGTGACCACGGTGTCCATTCTGGGATCTCCCTACCTGCTCTGTTCACCGTTCTCTGCATGGAGCATCCCACCAGACTCCTCTTTCCCCTCCTTCCGTAGCTGGAATAGCTGGAGCCAGGCACTATCCATCTCCCCCGAGTGTCAGTTGGATGGCAGGGGGAGAGGAAGGCTCCATGACCGAAAAAGGTATTGTTAAGTAAAGGGAGGCCGTGTGTGCGAGGCCCAATCTGCTTACCCCGTTATGTAACAGGGAGGGATCCTTTTTAGGAGCCGAAAGGAGAGGCGGGTGGAGAGGAGGCGGACGGGCTGAGGGGTGGGAATGACCCTGGGGCCAAGGACTGCTTCCAGCAGCCTCTCTCTGTGTGCTGGGTCTGTGCCTGTAAACAAACCCACTGCCCCTTTCCAGCTCCGCTCCCTTCCCCTGTCCAGCTCTTGCTCCCCTGCCATGGGCTGGAAAGGCACATCTCCTCTCTTCCCTTGGGAGGCTGCAACAGGAACCTGTTTGCAAAGTGGACTACTTGGGGGTATTCTGGGCTCCGGGGGTGTTTGGTGGAAGAGCTCAAAAGCATTTGGAGAATCCGGGTGCTTTTTAGAGCCTTGTGAGTCAAAGAGGTGTTAAAAATATATGACGAGCACGCAAACCATGCTGTGGCTGTGAGCCCAGACCCTGGCCTCAGTCTGGCCCCACTGGGTCAGGGGTCTGCCAGTGCCACGAGGAGCTCGAGACAGCAGTGGAGCCAAGGGACAGCCACCAGCTTGCTGCTCCCCTGCTCCCTCTGCTCCACTTTCCAGACAGGAGCCCCAGCAGAGTGCCAGCATCCCAAGGATGGATCTGGGAGTGTTTGAGGTGCAGATACAGGTCTGTAAGCTTTTCCTAGCTCTTTCCTGTGCAGCACAACAGAAAGCCATAGAGTGCAAAACACTGAGTGGGGTAAAGTGTCTTGGCTTACCCTGGCTGTCTGTCCCCTGAAACCTGAGCGAGGCTGGGGCACAGAGGCCGTGCTGGGCTCGGAAGTGCCTGTTTCTGAAAGGAGCATGTAGAACTACTCAGACAGCTTTGATAGTGTCATGTTCCACTGACGTGACTTAAAATAAATGCAAATCATCCCTGCAAATCATCCCAGGAGCTCACCATTGCTTGGCTCTGCTCTTTGCTTTGGGTGATTCCACTGCTACTCCAGGCTTTGTCCCCTGTCCCCTCATCCCTCAAGCGGGTGGGTTTGGGGAGGTGACGTTTCAGTCCTGGTGAGCTGTAGGTGGACAGCCAGGGATGCTTTGAGACTGACTGCAGGTGACCATAAGGCTTTTGAGAGCATCCTTGCAAGTTCTTGCTGTCACCTTGGCTTTGGGGCTCTTCTGGCCTGTCACTGTCAGCCCAGGTGTCACAGACACTTGTGCAACTACCGCTGTTAAGTCAGTGAGCTCTGTAGCTTCAGGGAGCTGCCTGCTACGTGCTTTTTATCTGATTTTCTCTTCTTCTTCCTTGATCTCTGTGCCAAAAGAACTGGCACAGAGACCCTTGGCAGCTGCCTTGATCCTCTTGACTTCAAAGTGCTGCCAGTGTCTGACCCTCTTCGATGTCCCTGAGTCAGCCTGTGTGCTCGGACAGCACTTGTGGGATGGGAGTGCTGGGAGCACAATGCCCATGTCAGGGAATTCTGCCCAGCCCTGGAGCCATGCAGGGGCCACATTTGACAGCCAAGATGGTGCCCCAGGCCTCATCTTGCTGCTGGAGTGGGGGTCAACCCAAAGCTGGGCTATACATGTCACCCAGCAGAGGTGGTGCCCTGGGGTGGGATATGGCTGTGTGTGGACAGACGTTCCCTGTGGAGACTGCCTCTTTCCTCCCTACATTATCTTTAAAAGGCATTAAAGCCAAGGGTTGACTCATGCTCTGCAGGTGCCAGGAGAAGCCAGGAAGGTTTATGCTAAAGCTGTGGCTTGTCCCACTTTCCTTTGGCTTTGTGGAGCAGTAGCTTCCCGCTCTAGCCTTGGGCAGCATCTCGGAGTTTTGGTGGCAGAAACAAGCAGCCAGAACTGCAATATGAATGCAACTGGAGCAACTAAATCCACTAATTCTTCTGGTTGTTACCAGGGGGAGTTGATTTGGGCATGTTGGGGAGGACTGCACGTGGAGGGGCTGTGCTGGCAGGCCCAGGTTCGTGGCAGCAAAGTCCTTGTCCCTAAAAACCAAGCCAAAAAATCAGCACCAGACCTAGTAAATAGGGGAACCAACCTCATGGCATCTTAATCTTCCTCTCTGGATTTGGCTATTTGCGTTGTAAGTAGTAGCAGGAATCACAGGCCTGTGGTATGTCAGGAACAGCGATTTCAGGACTGTATGTGTCTTCGTGTGTATATGTAAAGTAAATACAAATCAGATTGGAAGTGGGCCTCGATTCAGCTGTCTCCAACCACCTGGAAATTTTGGATCTGGCTTCGAATCTCTGTCCCAAACAAATTTTTTTTCCCTCTTCTAGAAGCAGCATTCTTCCAAAAACAGCCACTAGAATGAAGCAAGCACTCTGTGCTTTGATAACAATTGCAACATTATTTTAACTCGAATTCTGTTTCAACAGTTGCACGTGCCAACTTTTTTTTTAGATTTAAAAAACCACAACAAATTCCTATTTCAGATAGAGCAAAGAAGAAAAGGATGGAGAGAAATTAATGTGTCCTTGTCGTTTTTAATTTGCCCTGGTTTTTGAAGGGTTATTAGTAACTTTATGTATTTTCATTCTGAAGTGGGCTAATGAAGCAATTGCTCTGAGCAGGGCCTGGCTGAGACAGCCTGGCCTCTCCCTGGGGCACCGCTGAGAGCTTAATTGGCACAATAAATGCTTGATGAAGATCTTATCAAAAGCCAGGATGCTTTGTGAAAAGTCAAGGACGTTTGTATTTTTTTTTAACCACGTGCTTTCCCCCCCTTCCCTAAGCCCCAAAGCATCATAGGGAGATCCAAGTGGATAAAAGCAAAACCAGAGCAGTTTGGGTGAAGACATTGGAGTCCTGTGTGTTTCCATGATTTCTTTTAGCAGCAGGTGTGTTTTGGGGGAGCAACACATAAAATGGTAGAGAAATCCCAGCACCCAGAGGTGTGGTTTCGTGCCTACAGGGGGTAATGGTTCCTTAGTGTAGGGAATGATGTGGTTTTTTCTCCTCTCTGCCCCACAATAAGATGTCCTGCACACCCACATCTCCCAGGGT